AGCCCACCCAGCGAGGTACAAGGGGGCTAATTCGAAGTACAAAAGTCGCGCCTCACCAAGACCGAGGGATAAACCACTATCGTATTACATCATATTTATTTGTTTTCTCTAATATTATGCACCTGGGAAATGCTGTCTTTTTTAGAGTCCTTCTCAAATGTCATTAAGGCATATAGGAGGTTTTTTAAATAATCGTATTCCTGCTTGTATTTCACCCATAAAATTGGGGAAGAAATGAATTTCCAGGCATAGAGTTTCTAAAATAAAACCCCAAACTGGCATTGGTACTTTAAACAATTGCCTTTACCTTATACATTGAAATAGTTAAAAGTAAATAAGGACTGCACTTGACAAAGTCCCAAATATTTATATTCTATGACTTCCATACATTCGTGTTTGTGCATGACTGCTAATAGTAGTAAACTTTTTGACAGGGATGCATTGGGACGTGTTTTTTTCTAAATGCGTACTCACTTTTTCCATAGCAATAAAATTACTTAATTCTGTGGTTGTCATTATTAACTATAGTTTTTTGTTTAGTTTAGCTAACTGCAGCCAAAATCGGTGCAGCTGCACTTTTGTGATTTCTCCTAGTGATGTTGGCTGGTCTGGCTTTCGTAGGTTTGTTGATGTTCATTAAATATGCTTCTTAGTTCTCTTGCTTTCGCCACTCGCGCTTGCTGGCACAAACACTACTATCGATGAAATAACCTCAGTAAGACCCACAACAACCATAACGAACACTACAACTACGATTGGGCCCACTACTACCCCATCACCAAATGGAGTGCCCAAATTTGTCCTTTTTTGCAACGATGTGGCTAGTGTTATTATTCAAGCAGGAATGAAACTTTTTGTTCCATACTTCGATGTAAGCATTAAACTTACCTCCTAATCAGTAATGCGCATTAAACGGTCGGATATAGACTGCGCCTTGATCGTTTTTAGGACAAATCTAGTCGAATTAAGTCGCTCTTCATTGATGGAAATGCTGTAGCTGATGTGAGCTGCGGGGATGAGGTCGAGACTATTACGTTTCGGTGGGTCCCGGGTGCTTCTCGGATTCCGTTTAATTTAACAATGATTGTTCAGAAGTTGCCGAGCTCTCCATCCAAGATTGGAGGTTCCTTTATTCGCACCATAGATTTCGACTACTTTGTATCTGAAGATGTTTTCCCTCATGCCAACAAAACGGGTACGAAACGCACTTTTGGCAAATATATCCGTGTTATCCACCTTCCAGTATTTCGTTGCAACTTCGTGAATTTTATATGCTTAGTCTTTATCATCAGATTTGTAGATTGAGCTACTTTAAATTTGGTGGCTTTTCCAGTACTTTTACTTACCTAGGTCCAGTTTCTGTATCCGCTAATGGCTCATTCTTCGAAACTCCTGGGGCAATGGGTTTTACCTGTACTCCTCAGCAAAATATTTCGCTAGCTGAAGGTGTGATTTTTGGTGTGTCCTCTCTTCATTTGGAAACCTTCCGCAACTCAACTTCTGCGGACTTTAGCGAGAAAGGTACTTACTTCAATATCATTTTCTGAATTCACTATTTAAATTGGCATTCTTAACTATAGGTTTATCATCGACAAACTCTTTTATTGGGTTGACTTCATCCTTGCTTTTAAGCGTAAGGAGTACTTTTTGCTCTCCAAGCCCCACATAATAGTTGGATGAAATGCCGGGCATTTTTATATATGCCTTTACTTTTTTGTGCCTTGACTGATTCCTAACTATTCCAACCGAGGTTTTTGGCAATTCTGCAGGCCTTTTGAATACACCCTTTGTGTGTTCCTTTTAAGCTTCTTTCTTTTTGAGTCCAGCTATTTTGCATTCGTTCACATTTCAGCTCTCGATTGCATGGACATTCCGGCACCCAACAAAGTTGTTCCCATCATTGTGGGAGTGTCGGCTGCGATTTTGATTTTACTCGCCATTGTTGTCTTCCTCATTAGTAACCGCCGGCGAGCCCAGGGCTATCAGAGCCTCTAAGTATTGCCTCATCTGGACAATCACCTCTCTCTCTCTCCCTTTTCTTCCTCCTGGCTGATTTTGACACTTCAAACTTTTGTGCCAACTTCATGACATTTAATAGTCGCGACTTTTATACACGCATAGTTGTGCTCAATGTATTTTAAGTAAACTCACTCATTCAGCACTGTGCTGCTGCATTTTATGTTTTCCTCGACTGGAGCTTTTTGCCATTGCAAGAATTCTAGGTTTTGACCTTGCGCTTTGATACTTGTTTTAAAACTAGCAAAAGTGGGGTTTGTGGTACGTATATGGTCCGTATTGAGGAATCGGTCTCCACACCTGCAAGGTGGACTTACTTGAGGTCGTTGATGTTGTCGTGCAATTGTCCTCTAGGGTGTTGCGTCTAACAACCCGTTTTTAAGAGCCCCATTGGTCAAGCGGTGTTATCGAACGGCAACGGTACATTTTGGTGCTCGGGTGGGCTCTGTGTAAACCATTTCAATGGCATCGCAAGGCCCTCTCTTTGACATATCAGGTAACAGCTCTGGGTGCATATTTGACTAGACTACTGCCATCAAGGAACAGTTTGCAGCGTGTGCATTTGGTATACTAGAAAACAAATGAGTCATCGAGTAATTCAAAGCGGATGTTAACAAGACTATGCTTTCCTTTGCAATGACGTCGAGGCAAGCAAGACGGTATTTGCATTGATATCCCGATAGTCTGGACAAACCGTGCAGAAACAGTTGGGAATGGCGTCAAGTGGTTAATGGTTTCGACATTATACCTTTTTACAGTACTTTGTACAAGATGGGAATTTCTTACTTCCAAGTTCCGTTAGCGCTTAAATGTGAAAACAAGTATTTAGTAGTTATTTAAAAGTTAAACATTTTTTTGTCACAATCGTACTCCACGTTAGTCTGGAAGCCAAAGTGATACCATTGAGGGACAAAATAATAAAAAGGCATGTTGATGAAGTGCATGCCTTACTTAAGGAGTCTCAAACAAAACTAAAATTTGACTCCAATTTGTGTGAAAGAGGTCGCTGAATAATCTTGCTGAAGACGGAAGCTAGGAAGCAATCACTACCGTATGTTCATCAAGAGATTGACGAGAGGTGCCCTCATCTGTGGCGCAGTCAGCCATTGCCTTTTCAACCATAATAAATTGTCATTTGACGAAACTTCCCCAACATAATGAATGGACTTTTAGTAATCGTTATCAAACGAGTTCAGTTGTATTGGGTGTAATAAGAACTATAACTCGAATGGATCATCCAGGTGTCTGCGAACGCTTTGATTTGTTCATCCGTAACCAGGTAGGTAAGGCCAGTTCAGTTATTGTGTCATTAAGGGAACCTTGCCTATGCTGATCAAACGTTTTCTTGCTAAGAAAAGGGCGCTAGACTTCCCCCGTTTCCGCGACAGCCAGTACGCGACACCATACATGCCCGGTGGATTGTAAGAAGCTCACATTTCAATTACGCATCTCAATTGACTAGCGGATCAACACGTAAACAGGATTACCTATGAAGAATGATGCTGGTTTGGCCATGGCTGCTTAGGTTGCACTGGCTAGTTTTCATCCTCTTTAACTTGACCTCATGGACGCGCACGCACTTGGAGGTGTAGTTAAACGCATGGAATCCACATCTCCACTGAACGCACCTTAATAATCGGGGCATTGTTTCTCGATTGAAAATCGTCATTGCTGATGCATTGAGTTCTGCAGTTATTCTTACTGCCATATTAAATTAGCAAATGACCTAATGAATTCGTTTGAGCCTGGATTTCGGCTCGAACTCATGATGACTTATAAGAGCCGGAGCTCTAGAGTACATGAATTCAAGTCAACTCGTTGTCCACTCTGTGAAAGGTTAATTCAATGTTTTGGGTGATGGTTAGGTGAAAACATTTGCCACCTGTAGGATATAATGTCCTGCATTATGATAATAGCTCATTGCGTCCTTTTTGTTTTGTATTTCACCGGAAATGAGATTAAAACTGCTAAAATTTAACCGTTGTGCCCAAAATGTACAGCGCTGCACAAATGCAGTACGTGATCATTAGGAAGGTGGGCCATAAATAAAGGCAATATGCAGCCCTACATTGCAGTTCATTAAGTTTGTTATTCCTGGCGCAAACTTTGCACCGAATGTTGTTGATATTTAGGTTCTCAAATTAAAATATATCAACTGGTTTCTTATGTAAGGACAGACTATAAATTTGAAATATAGACTATTTAATGTCTTCCTCCTTCCCCGAAATGCTCATGTTTCAAAGCCTCAAGTGCCTAAAATTCCGCCATTTACGTGGAAGTCCTGCTTCGCTGAGGTTGTATTAATGCTCCAAGTCAAAGAAGGGATCCAAAAAAGTGCCACTGGACGGCAAGAATTCTTCATGCCTTTGTGCGTCAGGGTTTACAGTGTGAACAGTGTGCGCGCAGCGGAACTGTGGCTCGGCCAGTAAATACAGCCATTTTACAGCATAAACAATCAGATGACATAACTTCAAAAACACTACGACTTAAATTTGGTAAACAAGTTCGCCACCCTTGGTGTCTTAAGGATTGACGAAAAAACTCCGAAACTTTGTTTAAGAAAATTCGTAATTTAATATGACTTTCTCGAAGATAACCAATTAAACAGCTTCAATTAAGGTGCCATTTTCTGCACTAGGAATTCCAATTTTCTGCCAAATAAAATAAGGAATGGGTTACTCAACACGATTTATTGCAGCGATAGTGATGGGTCATTCCGTATAGGTAGGAGACAGAGCAAACAAAACTGATAAAGTAATGCATTAGGTATTATGTTTACTGTGTTAACACAAAGAAATGAGACTGACCGTAAGTTTTGGTGGTTAGGCATTACCAAGACGTAAACCAGAGGTGTCACAGTCGTGGTAGTAACGATGACGAAGTAGGCACGCTTGATCGTGTCCACCGAAGACGTCCGTGCAGGAGTCTAAATTACTCGCCCACGCCCTGTTGCTAATTCGGTGCGCGAAATAAACACAAGACGATTCATGGGCAGAGCATTTACCAGTCTCTGCAATCCGTTAACCATTGGGGGCTTGACAGGATTTTGAACCGAGTGCACAATAGCTACATCAAAATTTTCTAGGTGATGATCGTTTTACACGTTTATTTTATGAATGGCATCATTTCCCTAATGCTTAGGCTATCCGCTTAAAATTGGTCCGTGTGCCAAAGTTTTGCTTGCGCAAGAACAACAACGGGGTCATTTTCATGAACCCCACATTGTTACAATGAATTGAACACGCAAAAAAGCTCTTTCAGACACTTCTCGTCGTCAAGCATGATGAAAGATAGAAAAAGAATGCTGAGTTGTTACGGGTGTACAAAACTTTTAGAGAAAAATCGGTGCCCTTCAATCGCCCCTTTAATTCATATCTAATGTATTTAAATTGATAGAAAAGACTTTACTATCGACGATGATGCCGATCATAAGATCGTACAAAATATTTCAAAATTGTGGCTCTTGTAAAAACTTTTCATTCCAAATCTATTGATCCCTCAAGATTTCCAATATAACCTATAATGTCCTATTATTTATGCCTGTTTGAAGAGAGTTTGATCCATCTATATTTTACATATTCTACATACATCCTCAATAAGAATATAAACTGCAGTTCCACTTTTTATTAATTGCCGTTCCTTGGCAAACGCCACGCGTCTCTAAACCCTGCGCTATGCTGTAAAATTTGTTTAATAGCCAGCTTGCAGCATGTGGCGCGCGCGATCTCCACACGAGGTGCGCAGTGTCCCCGTGTTGACACAAAGACCACGACGCTGCGGTACAAATGAGCTGGCCTGTTTTGCCACTTCGACACACATTGTGGAAAGGCTTTTTCCAGCGTGGACTTTAGTTTGACACAATCACTTTAATTGCCATGTAAGGCGTGAGAGAGTTTTGGCGTCTTGATTATCAATTAGTCAACCACCTCTACGTGTACCCATGCGTGCTCCATTCATCCGCCACGATCTTCACTTCTTCCAAAATTCTCCCATTTTAATCAAAAATCCACTAGAATCGCTATTAATATCAAAATAAATAATAAAACTGTCATAAGCCATAACTGACAACTAAATGAGTTTTTTTGGATAGGTTAAAGGAACTTCTGATAAACATTTTGACATAAATGTAACAATGTTTATCAAAATCTGTATGAGAGTTTACCATGTTGTTAGGTCTTCGACTGCCCACCAAAAGTGCCATTTCATCTTACATGATTACAATTGTTTCCAAACAAAAAAAACCTTCCCTAGCGCCACTAATTCCAATCCATCATAATGTGGTCCGAAATTATAATGAGTTATTTCAACTGATGTTTGAAAAAGGGACGCGAGAGCTCCCCCCAGATCTAAAATAAACATTACGTGTTGGCGAATGTCCTTAAGGCATTTTCAACATTTCCCAAAAACTGTGGACGCCAATTGCCTGGTTAAATGCCGTCCTTCTGAGTGTCGTATGACAGCACCAATTTTAAATGGATTAACATGTTTTTTTTTTCGTCATAAAATTTCTAACATTTAATGTGCAAGTTGGTGCAAACTGACATTAGAGTAGCAGGAAAACAGAAATGTTGTTTTTCGGTATGTCAAGCAGAATCTCCCCCATTCTCTATTTGGGGATAGTAAAACACTCCCAGACTTTAGTAAATAACCCCAGTCTGACATTTATTTTATTCGCCACTTTTTACATTGACATGTTTTCAAAGATCAAAAATTTATAAACCTCTAGAATTCAGAATTACTTCAGAAGATGTACTAAGGGATGTGAGCTTAGAAGCGAATTTATTAAAGCGAAAGGGGAGGTTTAAAAGGTCAAGAGCAATGATGACGTGAGCAAAGCCATACACCTCCTTTGTGTGGGTTGTAATATAGTGAAGTGATTGTTCAAATTGCTGTTTACGTGGTCCTCCATGTGTCATCTTCGATTCTTCCACTTGTCCCATTCTACAGCTAGGCCTTTTTCAACCATCTGGGATAGGAGAAGGTGCTTTTGAAAATTTTTAGGGGAATTCCTATATTATCACTATAATTTGCTTATCCTGATATTTTAATTACCGTATTCTCTGGCAATATGAACGGTACTTTAGGAGGACACTTTGGAAGTAGAGCTGAAAAGTAAACAATGCTACGTTAGAACCGTGTTAGGTACACCACCAGCATTTGTGCAAGCAATCAGCGAAATGCGGAATCTTTTACAATTTTACCGAGAGTTTCTTCCGGGAAATAGGTTTGAGAGTTAAAAGATTTTATAAAATGGTCGCATATTAGTTCCTAAATGTCGTCCCCTAGATAGATGTTGATTTGAACTTAGATGACTCTTGATCAAAGCATGCTGTCATGCCTAGATTGGATTACTTATTAAGAATAAAGAATTTCTATTGTTTAAAGAATAAGTGCTTTCACGACAAGCTGTTGCATCCTTTCTCTATTGGGGCTCAAGCGTTCTGATGTTACACAAATAGACATTAGTTTTACCAATCCAAACAAGATGTAATCAACCCTAAATCAAAAGCATTATACATCTGTTTCCTTGCTCCAAACTCAAGCAGACATGCCATTGTGCAGCCACTTATCATACGCTAATAGAGAATACGAGTCGCGTGGAGGTAACGCCGGACCTCGATGCAAAACCCGAGCATCACACAAAAGTAAGGTTGGTGGCAAATACGGTAACAAGAAAAATTGGTTTTCTTGCCCTTCAGCCTACTAAATCGTGTGATTTGCTTTTTTTGGCTGACATTTATAGGTGATGGAGTAATAATGCTTAATTGCTTATTGCACCCAAGAGCTCAGGTTTGACACATGCCAAACGAGCGTACCGCAAAACTGTCCTTAACTCAAGTTTAAATTTAGCCACAAAAGCGGAGTAATTGCTATAGAAAGAGAACAAATGGCGGAATTCACATAATTGTAAGGAGAACACATCACTTAAAAGGAAGATTGAATGAGGCGACATGGTGACTAGGAGAGTAGCATGGAATGCAAAGGACAAAAGAAGGGTTTTTCGTCGTTTTATTAGCAGTTCCTTAATGGAACTTGAACCTAGAAGTTTGGCACATCATAGAACCATCACTTTATTGAAAAACCCGTTTAAACTGAAGTTTCGTTTAAGATAACTGCATTTGAATGTTTGCCACTCAGCTGTACAACTGTCAGGGGAAATTTGGTGAGTGCAGTTTCATGCATTTAAATAAATTCATGCTAATTTTTCAGTAATTAGGACTAAACACCACTGGAGACCATCTTGGAGTACTTTACTCGCTGGAAAAATAATCACTTGCAATCCTTGATGCTTTTCCAACTAGACACCAGCTCGCAACTTCAACTGATGAAAACCTTTCTCACTAGAACTGGCCAGCCTAGTCCTAGTCACCCCGTCCCTACCTTACATACGATTGTCTAATGCAAATAAAAGATGATAAACATGACTTGGAGAAGTATGAAGGAAAAGAGGGATGAGGGTGGAACGGCACACCACCCCCATCCTAAATTGTAAATCGCCTCAGTAAACAG